ATCTTGGGACACTTCAACCGCTGCCATAATTGCCTGCATCTGGGGACACCAGACAGGGTTTGGAGACAGCAACCAGCCACAACACTGCAAGCCACAGAGCTGCATCTCTGAACACGTCATCCAATACCACTGCCCGGCCAGAACTGACACCCCATCCCTGAAAGCAGCTGCCTCCATATTGGGACACCTTTGTTGCCACCACCATTGCCATTTTTAGTTGGGGCAACTCCCAGCTTGGGACACTGGTTGGGGCCTAGAAGCAGTATCAAGGTACCTATAGTCTCCAAGTCCCTTCTTCCACAGTCACTAACCAGGCACAGTGCCTACGTCCATGTGGCCAGTCCACAGTTCACAAAGCCTGATCATGATCTGCCCAAGACAAAATAGCTCTCTGCAACAGGTGCACAGGTCCCAAAGTGCAGCCCACATGACCTCTGGAGAGGTTCCTGACTGGGAAGTAGAAAGGGAGGGGGTGAGTGAGACTAATTTATAGGGGGTTAGAGACTAATTTATAGACCAGGAATTGTGAGGTCTACAGCTGATGTAAGGAGATAAGACCCAGAGCCCACACCACACACACAGGCCCCAAAGGAGATCCTTGGGGTGCAGTCTCCCCACTGAGGGGGACCAGCAAGTGCTATGCCCACTTCCAGGAGCTCTGCCCCCAAGTCCAACCCTACTACCCTAGTGACTTTCACCCTGAGGGTGGAAATACCAGCAAACAACACACACCCCCCACCTACTGGATGAGAAGGGAAGCAGGAAAGATACTGAACTCCAACAGAAACAATCCTTTAATTTTCCTCTGAAATTTTTTTTTTCTTTTTTCTCTCTCTTCTCCCACCCTCACATCCCCAACATTTGTGAAACCAAGCATTTTTCATGGATTAGTCTACTGGGGACTGGGATGTCTGAATAGTATATTATAGTCGTCTTCTATATTCTCTTACCTCCTATTTTTACAATTTTCCTAGTTTCTCTTTCAGAGGATTCATCACTAATGTACAGAAATGCATTTGACTTATAGGTATTGATTTTATATCCTGCTACTTTGTGTCAGATTAGGCCCTGACTTCTTTAACAAGACTTCTAAAGGGCAAGAAATAAAATCAAGAATTAATAAATGGGATGGACTCAAACTGAAAAGCTTCTTCTCAGCAAAAGAATCAATCAACAAGGTATATAGACAGCCTATAATTTTGGGAGCAAATTTTTGCCACACATATGCCAGAGAGAGCAATAATCCCCAGGATACATAAAGAATTCAAAGAACTACACACACACACACACACACACACACACACACAATCAATCAATAAATGGGCCAAGGAAATGAACAGACACTTCTCAGAAGATGATATATAATCAATCAACAAAATGTTCATCCTAGAAATGCAAACCAAAACTACTCTTAAGATTTCATTTCACTCCAGTCAGAATGACAGCTATTAAGAACACAAACATTAATAAATGTTGGCAAGGATGTGGGGAGAGGCACATTTACACATTGCTGGTGGTACTACAAATTGGTGCAGCCAATCTGGAAAGCAGTATGGAGATTCCTTGGAAAACTTGGGATGGAACCATCATTTGACCCAGCTATCCCACTCCTCGGACTATACCCAAAGGACTTAAAAACAGCATACAGTGATGCAGCGACATCAATGCTTATAGCAGCACAATGCACAATAGCTAAATTGCGGAACCAACCTAGATGTCTTTCAACACATGAATGAATAAAGAAACTGGGGTATATATACACAATGAAATATTATTCAGCATTAAAAGAAAATAAAATCATGGAATTTGCAGGTAAATGGATGGAACTGGAGAATATCATGCTAAGTGAAGTAAGCAAATCCCCCTAAACCAAAGGCCAAATGATTTCTCTGATATGTGGGTGCTGATCCATATGGGGGGTAGGGAGAGGAGCATGGGAGGAATGGAGGAATTTTGGATAGGGCAAAGGGGAGGGAGGGGATGAGAGGGGCATGGGGGTAGGAAATATGGACAGTGAGATGGACATTATTATCCTAGGTACATGTATAAAGAACAAATGGTATGACTCTATTTTGTGTACAACCAGAGAAATGAAAATTTGTGCTCCATATGTGTACTATGAATTGAAAAGCATTCTGTCATATATAACAAATTATAATAAATAAATTAAAAAATAAAACTATAAGACAAATTTGAAAGGTGGAAGGAAACAGAAAACAAGAGAAATATTTAAAATAACAATGGCTGACAATTTCCCAAGATTAATAACACCAAACTATCAATCAAGGAAGCTCAGAGGACACCAAACACCAAAAAATAAACAAACAAACAAACAAACAAATAAATAAATTGACACATCATATTTGAACTGTAGAAAATAAGAAAATTTTTTTCGAAAGAATGTAGTGAAAGAGCACTCATTATTTGCAGGGGTATAAGGATAAAATTAAAAAAAGATTTCTTAGGAGAAACCAGGTAAACAAAATGTGGAGTGAAACACTTACAGCACTGGGGCGGGGATGGGAATCCAGAAACCTAGATCCAGCAGTTATCCTTTAAAAGTGAAGGAGAAATTTTTCTTAAACAAAATCTGAAGGAATTCATCACCAGCAAACCTGCTCTGTGAGGAATGGGAATTTCTTCAGGTAGAATGAAAATGATGTAGGTTAGAAGTTTGACTCTACATAAAGAAAGGCCTAAGAGAATAAACAAAGATAAACAAAATCTTTCATTTTCCTTAACTGACCTAAAAGACAACGGATTGTTAAAGTAGTAACATCAGCAATGTATTCGGTGCTGATGGCATTTGGTCAGTGAGGTCACATCAATGTTATAAATCAACATTATCCCCTGCACCACACTCAGACAGGCTTTGGTTAGGTAAAAAATATAAATTCTAGAGCAACCATCATTTTCTGTTCATTTGCTTGTTTGCTTGTTTTTTGAGATTGGGTCTTGCTGTTGCCTAACTGGTCTTGAACCCTGTGGGCTCATGTGATCCTCCCTCTTCAGCCTCCCAAGTAATGAACCTTAGGCAACACAGGTAAGCAAGCCCACTTTACGCATTTTTAAAAAAGTATAACTGGTAAACTAAGACATAAAATGGAATCATATGATGTCCATAGAGGAAGGCAGGAAAAAAAGAGAGGCGGAAATAGAACAAATGTAACAAATGGAAAAGAATTATAATTGGTAGATACTGAGTTATGTCAACTGTCATTTTGATTTGAAAGGTCCCTCTGATGACGGGATCACTTAATTTCCTTCTAACTTATTCTCTTAGGAGATAGGAAAGTATTTTAAAGTACTGGTAAGCAGAATATCAAATCAACAGTTTTGATTTGATCAAAGTAAGGTTTCTGACCATAGGGAGAAAAAGGATATCAATACAAAATAATTCAAGAATCATGTTTCCTAGTTAATTCAAAATCTGGTTGACAGGGCTGGGGATGTAGTTCAATGATAGAGCTCTTGCCTAGTATGTGCCAGACCCTGGATTTGCTACTTAGCACTGCAAAAAAAATCAATATACACACACAACAAAACCAAACCTGGTTGACCTTTCATATAATGGTGATCAACTTAAGGATGGCATGCACTCTCATTTTATACATTTATGATGTTTTTAAAAAAAACTATCAAACATCAATTTTGGTATGTGCTTGGGAGAAAAAAGAATTAGGAAACTGGCAAAATTTTCTCACATCATATAGTGTGAATGTTCCGCTACTCAGTCCATCAGTAAGTCATTCTGCTTCAATGTGTCACCACTGGCAGAAATTTCTCCTAAAGACTCCTATTGCAGAATTTATGAAAGCTCAAAAGTATTGGTAGGGGAGGATGGAAACCTGAACTCCAATTGGATTTTCACCACTTTATCAGCTGCATGTTCCCAGGCAAATTATTTCATGTATCTGTGTCATTTTTGTGGGCTCATCTGTAAAATGGGGAAAACCTACACCTTGTGGTTATATGATGCTAATATATGTTAAGTATCTAAGTTGTAAAATTAATAAAATGATGGAAGCTATGGTCTAGGGCTTTAGCTTAGCAAATATAGGACAAAAGAGTACTTGTGCTTATTCAGGCAGTCATTATCAAGTGCACCACAATTTTCCAGAATATAAAGAAGTTTCTCTTAGTCTTTCCTGGGATTTGCAGAGTAGAAGAACCACATGGTATATCAACTCATGCATCAGAGCAGTTAGGCAATCAGCAATTGAATGTCCTGGTAAATATATGATATGCAAAGTTATGAATTTTTAATATAATTATTTCAATAGTCTTTGGAAAAACATTCTCTTCTTAGCATGTGCCAATAGTTCATTTCTATTTACTCAACTTATTTTCCCTCTCAATATGGATTTACTCAACTTATTTTCCCTCTCAATATGGAGCACCTGGTCAACAGAGTTAAACACAGTCCTATCCTAGAGTTTTGCTGTTTGCCGTGAGAGCACATCATATTTCCTCTGTCTGGCACACATGCTCAAAGTCCTATGCAAGAACCTTCTACTGGTTTCACATCTCTAGCTTCCCAGAACACATCCTTCAACCAAGATAGTTTTCCACTGTTAACACCTTCCTCCTTCACATCAGAAATAATCATCGTTGGCTTTTTCTCTTTTTAAAGAGTTCTTTTCTATTACCATGGTTATCAATACTATCACTGTTTTTCACTTCAGATTTTCTTTTGCTTTCCATTTAAACTGGAAAAGCTGTATTAGTTCTAAGCTATAAGAAAAAATAAGTGAGTGGCTTAGTTGAGAATTAGAAAATTCAAAACTGTCAGAAAACAAAGGTGTACAGTGTGAACTCAACTTATCTGCAAGGTTTTTAAATATACTTTTTATAAACCAATCTGTAGTGGTAACTAAAGAATAAATTTTAAGGAATCACAAAGAAACTGATGATTACTAAAGGCCCTGTGTTAAACTCAGTAAAGAAACCCCACCTTAATATAATGACTTCGTTGTGATTTTGTGAAGAATGTGAAAACATTAGCAATAATAGACATTTATTTTAAGTATCGGTTTTTATTAAAAAGTGCATTTTGATTATGTACGATCTAGATAAGCTGTAAGATATCAGTATACTCTCTGGAATAATAACTTTACAAAGATTTAAAACAAACAAAATTTTAAAAGCCTTTTTATTTCCTTCACCATTATTGTTTTACAATACAAATATCACCTTGTGAATACACAAAAAAACCCTACAGAAGATAATTCTGTTGCACGTAAAATACAGAATGGATATAATATACTTCTTCATTCTTAAAAAACTATTTTGTTCTCCACATTGGCAAGTATAGAATAGAATACTTCCCCAAACATACATATGTTAGGAGTAAAACTTAGAGTTACATGCAGTTTCTGCACAAATATATTTTAAAGAAATAGATCTCTTTTTTGTTGTTCACCAACAAAATTGTCATGAGAGTATGGATAACTAATTTGTAGCTTTCAAGTTTTAGATAAGTGATCATTTTCAAAACTCTCTTTAAAAAAAGATATTCATGGCTGTTTTCATTGAGTAGTTAAAATTGAACTACCAAAAAGACAATAAAATAATTTAAGTGGTACATGTCATTGTCACCTGCTCACAATGTGTGAACAGGCTTCGACTCTCTAATTAACACSCCCATTCTTTAATTCAAAGCAATTTTAAAACCATAAGCAGTCTTCTGATTTAATTTAGCTATAAATGCAAAATTTAGTAGTGTATACATACATTTATATTTTCATGGAATACTTTATTTTAAATAAAAACATTTAAGATCGCCTACTGACCATACAATCAAGACAAGAAAGGCACTAGAAACATAGACAAATTTCTCTCCCAAGAAGCATTTTTAAATTTTAACTCTCTTCTCTCTGTMATGTAAAAATCTTTAAATTTGGTTTTCATAACATCATTTTGAAAAATAAAGTTAGGAAATACTTAGAAAATCACTTATAACAGAATCTTTTTTTTTTTTTTGCACTTTTTGACACACTGTCTCTGCTGATTTTACAAAACCCAAAGTTACCAAACCTCTCTGTGTCTGTCATTTTTATTTGAATATCGGTGCAACAGGTAGAAAGATTTCAGAATCGAACCCCATTCAGGTACTTAGAAACCTTCATAGAGACATTTGCTAGAAAATGGCTTACAGCCCAATCTTTGGGGCAAGAGATATGAAAAGTATGTTTTCCCAAGAAAATAATACACTTTATTTCCAGATGTGACTGGAAAGACCAGAACTTATGATATAAAAGCTTACATTTATGCTGTTGCATCATATACAAAGGAACGTGGTGGCTGCGGGTTATGTAAATCCCAAACTCATGAACAGGAAATGTGGACAGTGCATGATAGGTGAGATTTTCTTTATTGTTGTCCAACGCAGGTCCTTTGGAGAGAAAAAAAGATCACAGTGCTGACCAGGTAACTCAATAGGTTAAGTCAAGGTAACTCTTGAAAGATAACAGGGTCAGGGAGGTGTTTATTTTATGGCATCTTCTCTCATGGAGTTCTTAGCACTTCGGACAGTTCCTGTTTCCCCACTCAGCATAGCTGTTATGTGTCGTTCACCAACCGGCTGTATTTAACTTGCCTACCGAGGTGCACTACTGGCCAGGGGAAGGGCCAATGGTAAGATCGAGGTACAATTCCTTGGACATTCTTTTCAAAGTACTGAAATGGCCTGTACCACCACACCCTGGCCAGGAGGTTCATCTGGGAAGCTTCCTTTAGCACCTAAGATAACAAAGAAACACATTTTCACAATTTTTTTACTTTAAGTTCAAATGTTTCCTGTGTTCAAATTCATGAAGAATCTTGGACCTGCCCATGGCCACTCACACAACCCAGCTTCATCCTCTGATCACTATCTTATACTCTTCACACACCTGCCCATGGGCCCCCAATACTAGCAGGGCAAGGAAAACATGGGCTTGTTTGTTTCTTGGCCATTAATAAATACCTCAGTTAGCTTTTCTATGTTAAAAATGGAAAAACTTAATGAAATGTTAAGTATTAAACTGGTGATGGGCCCACAGTAATGAGAAGAGGGTAAGAGTGCAAATCTAGCAATGAGTGGACACAGACTTAGAAAATCTTTTTCATAGACAATGAGGGTATGATACTTGTTTTAAAAGACATATTCTCCTGTGTCCTTATATTAAATACTTTTTCATCTTGGTTCTCAAGAGAATCAATGTCACAAAAGACAGCACAATATTAGCTGACTACACTTTAAGAAACATTTTGCTGGGCTGGGGTTATAGCTCAACTGATAGAGCACTCGCCTAGTGTGTGAGGCACTAGGTTCGATCCTCAACACCACATAAAAGTGAAATAAAGGTATTGTATCCATCTACTATAAAAAATATTTTTTTTAAAAAAGAAACATTTTGCTGGGTATGGTGTCACACTATCCCCAGCTACTTGGTAGGCTGAGGCTGAGGCTTGAGCCCAGGAGTTCAAGACCAGCTTGGGCAACATAGCAAGACCCTGCCTAAAATAAAACCAAACCAGATCCAAACAAAAAACAAAACAAGAAAAAAGAAAAGGAAGCGTAAGACATCTGTGGATTCTTTGCGTTCCCTGCCCAAGCCAGCAGCACCTATCCAGGAACAACAAGAGCTAACATCCAACAGGGGCAGGGAGGACTCACTTGCTGATTGGCCATAGTGTGATACCACCAGAAGAGTCTTGTGGTGATGTAATATGCTACCACCACGTCCACAGTGTAGTGGTCATGCGCTAAGAGAATACAGAAGATTCCAACGACGCTGAGAAGCCAGCAAATCCAGTGGTACCACCAGAGTCGTCGAGGGGAATCTGAAAAAAGGAGAAATGAACAATAGTCCCATCATCCAAATAACACTCAAGAAGATACCCACCATGCCTCTGCTACAGTGCTTCTGAGTCAAATTACCTTAGGTTTTCCCTTCTGAAAACAGATCTCTTAGGCTAGTAAATATAAAGGCTTTCATTTTTATCTGTAACCAAGGTTAGAATGGAAATAACTTTTTACACAGTGATTTTACTACCAGCAATAGTAATTCAGATTTGATTATTACTTGATTGATATAATCAATGCAGTTTAAAAGAGTAGTTTAATCAAGGATGGGTTAATGCATTATGCTTCTCCATTTAAAATATTGCTCACTGACATTTTAGCTCAATTTACCTGTAGCTAATTTGGGGTTAATGCTCTTTACAAAAATCAGTATCTACTGATCCATACATCTCCATACATGAACTAAGCCATCATAACCAATACAACTGTCTTATTTGCTTTTCAAGTTCCACAATTGTACAACTCATCTGAAAGTCTCTGAGGTTTCCATTTCTCAATACAAACAGAAGAAGAATTAAATGCCTGGGAACTCTCATCCAAAAGCCTCTGAAAGGTAGGAATGTGTCAGAAAAATGCTTTTCTCTACCTTCATTTGGGGAGTCACCTGAGGGAAACACTTTAGTCTCTACTAGTACAGGCCTCCCCGTCTATCTTGCATTCTCAGTGGGTAGGGATTCAGAGGCTTTGGAATTTTAGGCAAAAATTTTGAATGTAGCTTCCCCACACCAGAGGAGAAGTACAGGCTTTTATTGGATTCTTAAGAGGTCCAGGAAGTAGTCATTCATTCAACCAATATACATGTGGCATCTGCCAGATGCCAGGGACAGGCACTGCTCTAGTTACCAGGATCAATGGGCAGAGACCGGAAAGGGCCTGCCCTCATGAGGAGACACTTCCTAGGAGGGAGGAGAGACCAGAGGCTATGATTATAATAACTAAATTCCATACTATATCAGAAGATATTAAAGGCTCTGGAGAAATTTAAAGGTAAGCAAGATAAGGGGTCAGAAGAAGGTGGAGTGAAGGGCAGATTACAACTTTAAAGTGGGAGTTATGGCAGGGATATATTTCAGTAACACTTGTACTTGGTACCTTAACAATACAACAACAAATAATAGCTACAATTTATTCTCTGTGTAACTCTATTAGTATTAGTATTCAAGTACATCATCTATTTAAATTTTAATAACCCGTTCCTCACCCCTGAAGTAGATTTCAAAATCATTCTTGGATGAGGAAACTAAGACTCAGAGAAGTTGCAGATTTTTCACAAGGTCACAGAGCTGGCACATGGTAACACCAGGATTCAAAATCAAGAGGTCTATGACCCAAGGCCTCTGCACTTCCTAGAATGGCACAATGCTTTATTGCTGAAATAAGCCTTGACAGCATTAAAAGATTTCAGTATGAGCCAGCAGATGGCAGGAATCCCTTCCCCAGGGCTGTCAGCATCTGGCCTCTAAGGTTCCCATTTTCCACACCTTGTTATTACCCAATACCAAAGGCTGCTTCACGTCCATTGAATTCTCAATAGCACTGCTAGAATTCACTATTTGTGATTGCATACTAAATACAAGTAGAGGAACATCAATTCTTCCTTTCTTTCTCCAGTACTCTCTTACCTTAGTTTTCAAAACCAGAACAAAACTTTAACCAAGCTCACCACCTCTCTCCTCTACACTCATAATCTATACTGTCATGTGTTATCTGTTGACTCTTTTTAATAATGTCTCTCAGTACCTTCTGCTTCTTTCCATCCCCAAAGTCACCATGGTAGTTCAAGGTACTGCTATCTTTTTCCTTGATTCTAACAACAATCACCCAACTTCTCTCCTGGTCTCCATTCTAATCCCTCTCTAGTCCATCTTACAACCTGCTGCCAAGAGTGGTTTCTCCTTCTCTGAAGGACACAGGAGATGGTACTGCTCCATTGTTCCGACCCCTTGATAGGCACCCATCTCCCTCAGATGGAAGTTCAGATTCCTTATTGTGGCTTAGGGCACCCTCCACAATCTGTTTACTACTTACCTATCCCTCCTCATTTCTCATTATTGCTCTCACTGAAAACTCCAGTCACATTAATTCCCAGAGAGGACAACAATGCTCCCAATACACCTCCAGATCGCAATGTACATCCCACCTCTGTGAAACCATGGCAGTTTGATTTTATTTTTTGCCTTTCATGGAAACGCCTGCATAATGCTCATTAGATTGCTTTTAGCAGTAAAATTCTGAGTATCACTGAATTTCCCCCACACCCCACATTCTGTTACTAGGGATTAAACCCAGGGGCATGTACCACTGAACTGTATTTCCAGTCCTTTATTTAATTTTTTTTTTTTAATTGTGAGACAGGGTTTTTGTAAGTTGCCGTGGTGGGCCTCAAAATAGTGATTTTCCTGCCTCGGCCTCCTGAGTCATTGAAATTACAGGCATGAGCCACTATGCCAAGCTAAGTACCACTAAATTTCCTCTAAGTAATAAAGGGTTCATTTATAGTACTGAAATACTAATAGCAATTAAAATGAATGAACCAAGTCTCATGTCTCAAAAACAAAATTTGAGAGTAAAAGATGGTAGAGGAATATATATATATAGCATGGAACCATTTATATAAAATTTTAAAACCATGAAGCCCAATTCTCAAATACAAAAATAAGCTTAGAAATGATGCAGGAAAATGAGAGAAGGAAAGGATTTAATCACATATTATCATTTTATTTCTTTTGAAAAAGGTAATCTGAAGCAAATAAGGCAAAATTCTAGATGCTAAATTTGAGCAGCATATGGGGTTATCTATAATGTTAATTTGTTAGTTTTACAAGTACTAATATTATTAATATTTATTTATGGCAGTACCGGGGGTTGAATCCAGGGCTTTGCACATGCTAGGCAAGAGCTCTACCATTGAGCTATACCCAGCCCTTTATATTTTATTTTGAAACAGAATCTTGCTTCTTGGCTGAGGCCAGCCTTGAACTTGCAATCTTCCTGCCTCTGCCCCCTAAGTAACTGGGATTACATGCATGTGCCACCATGTCTGGCTTTGATTCACAATAGAATGTTTTAAGTATGCTTCTTAAAGGAAATGTCCCATTTAGTGTCCACCTCATCCCTAAGCCCATGGCCTGAGGGCAGAGAATCCTCTTACCCATCACTGTACCCTCAGCACGTGGCACAGTGTCAAGTGCTTGAAAACATAACTACAGAGTCAATACATGAGCTTCCATCATTTAACCAGGCCTGATGCTGGATTTCTGTGTCTTTATGAGATTTCCATCTGGTTCCTTTCAGAGCTGTACCACTGATCATAACACACCCTGTACACTGTGCTGGAAACTGCCTCTACCCCATAACTACACTGACATGCGGAAAACAAGACATCTTGCAAGAAGCACATTTATGTCCTTCCACATATTCCCTTTGGGTGCCAGCTGCATTCCAGGCATGGTGATGAGACGAAGCCATCACTCTCCTAAAGCCTCCAGTCTTCCTTCAGCAGCCCTTCCACACAACATGATTTTTCAAAGGACCAGAGACCTTGGAAAATGGCAGGTAAGGAAACTGTGATGGATGGTTGTGTTAGACTTACACTCTTTGATAAATAAGTAGGTGAGTGTTAGCATGACCGTATGGCCGCTGTACAGATAGTCCCCACACATGTTGTGAGAGCCAGTGATGGACAAACCACCTCCAGCAATGAGCTTCATTATTCTCCGCAATTGGGCTTCCCAGTCTCCAAAAAGCTGGCAGGAGAGAAGAAAACAAGATTATTAGTCACATAAAAGTGTGCTATGTTTACTATCTATATCTAGAGTTAGGGTTTGGGCTGGGAATATAGCTCAGTTGGTAGAGTGCTTGCCTCGCATGCACAAGGCCATGGGTTCAAGCACCACCAAACAAACAAACCACAGAATTAGGGTTTATTAAGACACACAAAATCCACACCATGAAATTTAGCCTCTCAATATTTACCATTCCATAGGCAGCACCCGAAGAAAGTTCAGTTCTATAGATGAAGCATTTGGCTTTGAAACTTTTGGATGTTTTACAGCACATTTCAATAAATGTTTACCAAATTTAAATAATTTTATCAGAGAAAAATCAGTGGACCTACTTACCAGAACTGCTGTTTTGGAAGAAGAAAATCTTAGAGATGTATGTTTGCCATGCATGGCCTGGAAGGACAACTATTCTACTAACTTAGAAAAAGGAGCAGGAGGCTGGAATAGTCAATGCATCAAACAAGGGACTCTGCAGAATGTGCCTTCAATCTTCTGAAAGTATGTGGGTAGCACTAGATGACTTTACTTTTAATAGGAGTGAAAAAGTTTATAAATTAATCTACCTGCGTATGATGCAAGACTGGGCTGGATAGTAAAGTAATTAAACGGACTTAACAACTCACTTGTTGCAACTTGGATTTGTTCCTTCAAACAAGATGCTCAACTGTCTATATTTTTAAGCTTGTCAGCACCTGTTTAAATTCTTGTTGGCCAATTTGATCACCAAGGTCTTTTTTCAACAATTAACTGATAATATTCCAGGCTTTGGGAGACACTTTTCATTATAATTTTCCTTTATAAAAAAAGTCTTCAATATTTCTAGTTAAAGATGGCAGGCTGCACAGATCACATGAAGGATAAGTGTTTCCCATTTCAGAGACCCTTGAAGGCTCCACACAACAGAAGACAGACCTGCATCACAAGATGGCATCACAGAACTTCAAAAACAGGGATGAAGAAGAGATGCTAAAGTCTCCAGAGATTAAAAACAAGTTTTATATGAAGGATCACTAGAATCAAGACTTTTAAAAGCAACAATGGGAAACAGAAGGCTTTTGAAAAAATGCCTTCAGATTCTTATGAAAAGTGATTTCTAACTTAGAATTCTACACCGGTACATAGTACAATCAAGCATAAACCAAAGGATAAACAAAAACCTTTTTTATATAGTAAGATTTTAAAATATTGCCCACCTATAAACTCTTTTCCAGGAATTACAGAGGATATGCTCCACAAAGTGAGTAACATGGAGGAAAGAAAGAAACAGGTCTGGCCAGGTTGCCAGCAAAGGGAAAAGAGAACCTTGCTGTAGCTCCCTAGAAAGGGACCAGCCGAGGGGCTCTGGAGAGACGACTTCCAGGAGATGAGATGAACAGAACACTCCAATGCCTCTGACCACACTAAGGAGAGTCAACTTCGAGATGAATAAGCACAAGGAAAAACCATGAAAGCAGAACAGCAATTACTTACTCTACAGGGAAAAGAAAATTGTGCAGAAAAAGAAAACTATCGGAAACCACATGGCTTAGCTGTGAGTGGCACTTCCAGAACTCTGATAATAGAGGCCCTGAATATTGAGCTAAACAGACGATAGAGAGCTGCAGAGGGAAGGCAGGACAAGAAGCTTGAAGGTGTGATGTGGGGATGGGCAGAGATGGAGGAAGTAAGGACAAGGCACAGGACAGGAAGCTTGGCCTTCCACAGCAGGAAGTCAATAAAAGGGAAAGTCTACATCCAAAAGTCATAGAGCAGAAATGTTCCCTCAACACTTAGAGACCCAGGAGTAGACATATTAAAAAATCTGTAAAAAGAGTTAAAGATGGGGCAGTAAATACCACAAAATTCAGACCAAAGAGCTAAAATGAAAAAGTAGCCAGAATTGGGTTAGCACCAAGTCATCATTGTGTCTCAGAACAAATTTGATAGAACATTTTTAAAATTGCATAATTATATAAACATGATACAGTTTTCTAAAACCTCAAATTAAAAGTTTGGTTTAGTTCTGTCATAACAATGGATAATATGTAGAAGAAAGTTACATCAAAAAAAAATTGGACATATCTCCTCATTTTAGACTATTTCAAATGATCCTTCCTAACTCCGTCTGTGTTATAAAACCTATAATCACATTACCAAGGGGGCTTCTCCTCATAATGTACCCCCTCATTTTAGCAAGCAAATCTTCACAGGAGACTGTATGTGTTGGGGGAGAGGAAGAGAAGTAACGAAGTTAACGTGGCATGGAGGAAAACAGGAAAAATAAATAAATCAATGCTGTACTTCTTACAGGTGTCCTTAAAATCCCTAAGCCTTCTTTTTAAAATATTTTCCCATGTTAGCCAAACATGGAAAGCCTCTTCAAGTCTAGTGGGGAAAGGGAAAAGAGGACGGATGTTTACAATGATCTAAAATACTTCATTATGTTTAAAAAAGCAAAGTGCAAGGCAAATTACAAAACTGCAGCAGAGACAAGTTAATGTTTTTTATCATGTACACAGCACATAGAAATTAAGTAAAATGAGGCCAACTCGGCAAACAGAATTTATTCAAGGACAAAAGGATGTGACCAGATAGAGGCACAAACTGTCAAACAAATAGAAATAAAAATTAACGTCTTCCCAGGTCAAGTTAGCACAGCTTTAAACTAAGGAACATGCTGGTGTTGGGGAGGAGTTGAGAGAGCAGTCTTCACATGGCCAAGCATGCAAGAGCAGGCCAAATCGCTCTGTGTTCACATCACGACTCTCCCAATGACCTACTCTGTGACCCTGGGTGGCTGAACCATCCTGAGCCTTAATGATATCATCTAGTTTATGACCACTGGCAAAAACCCTCTGTCAAGATCACCATAGTTTACCAGCAATTTCCATGGCCATAACCTCTGAGCCCATTTTGCTTCTGGGAGTCTACCTTAAAGAAATGACCCCAAATATGAAGAAAAGCTTTTTGGACAAACATCTCATTGTAACAAGCTGCAAAATGGAAATAACATTTGTGAGGACTGTCAAATAGCTCCCTTGCTGTCCAAGGTCTGGTTCAGGGGCAGTATTGGCCAAGATGGGGAGTCTAACTTGAGTAAGTAAACTGTCAGAGCTGGACCTACTGACCCAAAAGCTGAGGTGATGCAGATGTGCATGAAAGTACGAGAAGCACTGAACCAGGCTGACTGCTTAATAAATTATTAAAAAATAAGTTTCCGATAACTGTGTAGGACAGTAATGGTATAAGCATTTTCCTATATTAAGAGGGGAAAACAAAATAAAATGGTAAAATTCTATGTGTTCAAACAACTATGTCCAGACAAAGTCTAGACATGCCACATTCTGAATGTTCACAGGTCACAAGGAAATGGGGAGGGTTTCTCCCAGTCTCTGTCCCAGAATGGCTTTCCTTCTTTTCCCTGGGCCAGAGAGAAAGGGATTCTCTTGAAGCTCTGCCTTCAGGGATTTGTGTTTGAAGTCCAGGCAGGACAGTACATGGAGAGACAACAGGAAACAGGAAACCTGGATTCCCCATCCTTTCCATTTTGGTTTCCCTCCCCAATCTGCCAGCTAACATTTACTTTTGAGTCTTAAGTAGCTGCTACAAACATTCCACAGCATTTTTTGACTGCATCCAGTGGGAAAGAGGATGGAATATGCTTATTATTCAACAGTAACTAGAACTGGAGCCTCCCTATGAGTGGGCTTCTGAATGCATACTGTTGAAAGTAGAGATTATCTGGAGGACGCTCACATAAAAACCTCCAGTGGACACTATAAAATTTTATCATGAAAGCCTCATATCTGTGAAATATGGTCTCTCAGGGTCATAGAAAATCAGTTTTCAGTAAAAATAAAGCTACTTTCTTCAAATTCTAATGAATAACCAAGAAATGAAATGAAGTGGGCAAATCACTTAATACCAAAATACAGAAACTGAGAGCAGGTGGAGGAGGGAAAGGCCTCCAAATGAGGCAAGGCATCAAACACACTGAAGCCCAGCAAGCCTTTGGTTATTAAAAAATGAGTCTCCCAGGCATTGTTTTCAATCGATGAAAAAAAAAATGGTGATCGTCTGTTCTCATTCAGTCTGCAGGTGGCACAGGGCAATGGCTTTTTCTGACTCATCTAAAGAGCAGGAGCAGTCACTGAGCTTCAGTGCCCTAACTGGGAGGAAGAGGAGAGCCTGCCACTAAAACCATCAAACGATGCTGCACGAATCTTCAGTTTTAACATAACTGACGAAGAGCTGGAAGTGAGGGCTAAAGAGCAGAAATGCTATTAAAATAATCCTTGACCTTTTACTAATGCTTCGTCTTGGAGCAGCCCAGAAGAGGCACTTACAGATATATTATATCTGGGACTGGAATCCAAGTTCTCTGACTCCTTATGTGCACACCACATACATTATAATAATATTTCAGTCAACAACAGATTGAATAGACGACAGCGGTCCCATAAGACTACACTGGAGCTGAAGAGTTCCTATCGCCCAGTGACACTGCAGCCATCGTAATGTCAGGCTGCAGCTTGTCACTTCTTTACTGTTTGTGGTGATGCTTTTGAAAACCTACTGTCCACCAGCTATGTAACAGCACAGTATATACAACCATATACAAGGTGTAACACTTGTTAACTATAGTAACAACTGTTACCACTTTGTTATTTTAGAGTGCAATCCTTCTATTTTACAATTTTTTTTTTTTTTTTTACTGTAAAACAGACTCAGGCAGGTCCTTCAGGGACAAAGGAACTATTATCACAGAAGATGACAGCTCCATGTGTGTTATTGGCCCTGAAGACCTTCTAATGGGACAAGATGTGGAGGTGGGAGAGAGTGTTACTGATCCTGACCCTGTATAGCCACAGTTATGGCATGTTTTTGACTTAGTTTCCAACAAAAAAGTTCAAAAAGTTAACCAAATAAAAATTTAAATTAGAAAATGGCTTACAGGATAAGAATATGCAGAAAGAAAATAT